AATCTTTCCATAATTTTTGGAAAGGGGAAGGTACTTTTTGAAGTACTCTTGTATTATTTACATGGGCTCTTGCTTAAAGTTAGAACAACTTCCCTGTCCTCTACATACCCTAAAAGTAGTTGGCAATGTTTCACTCACACAGGCCGAAAAGAATTCTTTCTCATTTAACAGAGTACACTGAAATGCCAACTCAAACATTTAAAAGATTTCTGTGGTATGGTTTGGGTTAATCTCATTTTGGAACAGTAACAAATTGAATTCTTCTCCATCTCTCTCTCTTTTTTTTTGTCTTTTTCGTGACCCGTGACCGGTAAGGGGATCGCAACCCTTGGCTTGGTGTTGCCTGCACCGTGCTCAGCCAGTGAGCGCACCGGCCAGTCCTATATAGGATCCGAACCTGTGGTGGGAGCGTTGCTGTGCTCCTAGCGTCGCACTCTCCTGAGTGCGCCACGGGGCCGGCCCCTTCTCCATCTCTTAAAGCCTTGCATATCTATTTCTGTGAGAATACACATTTATTTCTGTGGGAATACTTGAGCTCATGCAAAATACTGGAGATTTAAACATATATGAGATTACTCTTTTTTTCATACTTGGTTAACTATATTCTTGATTGTGAGGCCCCTTGAACTCCATTCTCTTTTCTAGGAAACTCATTTTCCTCCCTCCTTCAACTGAACCTAAATATCTGTAGAACGCAATTGCTTCACTAATGGGCAACAAATATGTCTTGTTAGCTGTGTCATAAAAGGGATATTTTCAATAGCATGGCACATCCTTGCAAACCACAAACTTGCAAAATTCTTGAGATTTTGAAACTGGGAGGGAGGAGGAGGGAATAGGGGAATTGCAAAATTAAGCTTACGAAGTTTTACAGCAATATGCTGGTCAGAAAAGAAAATCTACAACCTCTTTTGGGGATAGAATAAAAGGATTAGGGTTTAAGTCTCTAAAGATAAATTTAAGTGAGAAGATCAGATAGCACATGCAGTATGGTTTAATCATCATGAACTATACCAAAACAGAATAGGAAGTTCTTATTTATGATACAAGGTGTTTTAAGACCTGTAGCATTTCTAGAAATATATTCTAGCAAATTAATTTTTGGATGTGAGAAAAGAGTATTCATTACAGGAATATTCATTATAGCATTGTTTGCTTACACTAGCTAAAGTTCGGAAAAATTGGAATACTCAATTGGGATTGGCTAAATGTTGTTCCATCAATATGCATATTTAACATACAGACATTAAAAATGATATTTTAAAAGATTATTTAGTTATATGAAACAGGTCTCCAACAAATGATTTGAGTGAAAAAAAACAGGTCTCAAAACAGAATGTCCACTATGATCCCTTTTTGCAAATTTTAAGAAATAAAATTAAATATATGTATACACACATACATACTGATAGGTATATATACACACATATATACATATGCATAGAAAAAAACACTAAACATGTATATAGCAAAATCTTAACATTTGGGGATTCTAAGAGATTTTTATTTTTTTTCTGATTTATCCAAGTTTTAAAAAATTTTTCAAATGAATATTTGTCACTTTTATAAGGAAAAGAACAGTAATCATTTTATACATATATACATGATTTTAAAAAGATCATTGGGAAAGAAATACAAAAAAAATCATTGGGTAATAAGCATATGAAATTTGTCAATCTCTAGAATCTAGAAACCATATAAGTCAAAAGAATAAATAAGTTCAAAGACTGAAATTAATTGAATGAAATTTATGGTTAATGACTACATAAAAAGTGAGTATAAAATGTTTACGGAATGTCTCAAATGTGTTTGAAGTTACTGTCATAAATGCAGCAATCTACTTTCACAAAACCCCATGAACAATGCAGAGGGGGAGAACAGGGACTGAGAAAAGAGAGTGACATAGAAATTGCTGTCAGGCTGAATGGATGATCACTATGACCCAACAGCACTTTTCTGATGTCCTTACGTTTTCAGTCACTCTGCTAACTCACTTATCTGATACTGATTATGCACAAGGCTGTGTAAAGTTAACAGCTGAGACAGTGTTTGACCTATTCTAGGCATTCCATTTTGCTACTTATTTGTACCACACAACTCTAGAGATGGGCAGGCTACCTTAGTGATTTCAGCATCCATCTATACTTCTTGTGCTTGTCCTTATTTTACTCAAAACACACTCTGGTTACCAGTGACCTTTCCTTGAGTAAACAGTGGCTTTAAAAAACAAAGTTTGTCAATTCATTTTGAGCTCTGTACGAACACAGAAGTAATCGCTGGAACATGACTTGTGTTCTACCCTTTCCTTTTTCTTTCTTTTGGTTAGATAGTTGGGGTTCTACTCCTGCCTTTGCCACAAAGATCGATATAATCTTGGGTGAGCCACTTTGTCTTAGTGGGGCACAAATGACATGTGTGAAAGCACTCTGTGAATTGCAAAGCATTAAAAAATATAATGGTTATTGAACTAGATGATCTCTAAATTTCCCTCAAGGTCTAAAAATTTTTATTCTGTACTTTTGTTTTTATTTTTAGTGACCTCACTGATCTTTTATTTTTAGTGACCTCACTGATCTAGAAACCAGGAATTGCATTTTGGTACATTTGAGACTACTTCTGTTACACCAAAGCTGCTGCTGATTGAGTACGTACAGAATGATTTGTGACTTTAAAATAGCAGCACCAAAAACAGGTAATTCTTCAACCCCTTAGGCTGAAAGTTACTGCAAATGATACATGAATTTAAGGAGAATGCTGAGTCATGGCCAACATCTAAAAACTTCATTTTCTACGTTAAAAAAAAAAAAGAGTTTGCCTTTCTTAAACCTAATAAATTTAAATATCAAGATGTATCTAACTGGAATCACATTTGAAAAGGCTGTGGCCACTCATATAGCATTTTAATACATTTTGCTGGACATTGTCAGCACTGGAATAGTGACTACAGCAGGCAGGAAACAAATGAAGACAAACCAAATTATGTATAAAATCATCAGAGAATTAGAAAATTATATATATATATGATTATATAATTATAAAGTCATCAAGAGTTAGAAGGCTTTTAAAAAAAAAAAAAAAAACCGGTAAGGGGATCTTAACCTTTGAGTTGGTGTTATCAGCACCACACTCTCCTGAGTGAGCCACGGGCCAGCCCGATAGTTAGAAGGCTTTCTAAGAGTCATTTAGACCAGTAGGTCTCAGAGTGTGGGATTTCATCGGCTTATGTAAGTTCTAAAAAAAATAAAAAATGAAGTTAAACATAGAAGTGTCAACTTTTTATTTTGACAAATAAGGATATTAAAAAAACAAAAAAAACAACCATTTTATAAAAGGGCATTTTAATGACATATACAGGAAGATAAAATCTCAGAATATAAGTACAATGTGAAATTAGATAAATGAAAAATGCATCATACTTACTTATTTTTCTAACATCCTTATTAAAAATTTGTTAGAGACTTGTGCCTGCCCATACACACTGACCTCTGGGAATTACCCACCTAACCCACTCCATGCCCACCCTACTTCCACTCCCCATTGAGCATTTGTAACACTACACCAAAAAATCCCTTTAAATGTATACCCTACCCTCTTGTGGGGAACTCCTCAAGCTCAGGAATCCATTAAATTTTGGGTGACTGTGATAGAAAATCAGCAGTATAGTAGTTGTCCCTGGAAACTTCATGATGCTTACTTGGCTTTTTTCTTTCTTCTCAATTTTAGACCAGAATTTAACAGCAGAGGATTTTAAGCTGGTTAAAACATGCTTTAGAATGGCCAAAGGACAGTGATGTCTAATAGTGCTGATTTGGAAGTCAGGCACCCTGGGCTTCGGTTGTGCCTCAAAACCTCATGCTAAATCTTGGGCGAAATATCTTCCCCTCTGTTTAATCAAAATACCTTCCAGGATGAACCCTATTACTAATTATTTGATCGGCTTTCAAAGTTGCTATTAAAATACTACACTTTTTCCATTTCCATTTTAATGAAATTATTTTATTTGGGATAAATTTTTTTTCTTTTTATTCTTGTGATAGATTTTTCTGCTTATATTTTTACAACTGAGGTTTGACTCATATTACAGATTAAAGTATCAACCATGGAGCCTTCTTTTGTGAACATTATTACCAAGCCCAATTGCCCCAGGTTAAATTTTGTAAACCAAAATGTGGCCAAGATTTGATTCTTTGATCAATTTTCAGTAAAAAATTACAGTGTAAAGTTTTAAACATTGTCAATTTTATTTTGTAATAGTTCTTTCTACACTATTTGGGTCAATACTACGGTTTTCAACAAGACCAAGACATGGTTCGTCGTTTTTTTTTTTGAGGGGCGACTTTAACAACTTTTACTATGTGCAGTTTTTTCATTGCTGCTAACTTTTTCTGTTGATTTCACCTATCAGTGATATTTATAATGAACCAAATAGTAGATTTTTTTTCTTGACGATCAAATTTATCAGAGGGGCAACAATGTAAAGACAAGAGGCAACAGATAATTCCTGCTTCTCTCTTTTTTTCCTCCTGTAAAAAAAGAGGGTCTCCAACACTCCGTAGAGGGCGGAATTCTAATTATTTAGAGCAGGCTCTGCTAAAACCGGGAGCCCTGAATGAGTCCCTCAAACCCAACCCGCCCGGGGCTGCTTTTCTCTTCCTCTCCACCGGAGGCGACAGCCTCTTTCCAAACAGAAACAGGGCAGGTCCCAGGGAGTGCCCCGAATAAAGATCAAAGGTTAAAAACCGCCTCAAACAAAGAGCAAAGGCCAATTCCCAACTCCCAAAGAGGACTGAAGCTTCCATCGGCCACCAGAAATGAAGGTAACTCCTTCCTAACATGCACTCAAGGCCTGGGGCCGCACAGCCTTACAGAGACCGGGTGTGTCCCAAGTTACTAACAGGTAGAAAAAGTGAACATCAGAGACCGGAAGTGGAAGTGAGCCCGGGGCGGAGGCGAGGACAGGCCACGGCACGCCTGCGCAGTCAGCAGGAGTTGCAGCGCTCATGCGCAGTTGGGTGGTGACGGGGTGACGCTCGGAGCGTGGGCCGCGACTCTCACGAATCCGGTTCCGCCTTCCCTCTCGATGCCGACCCTTCGGGGCTAGCGCCCGAGATCTCTTTCCCAGAGTGCTCTGCGCCGTGAAGAAGCGGCTCCCGGGGACTGGGGGCATTTTGTGTTGGCTGGAGCCGGAGTAACAAGATGGCGTCGTCAGCGGAGTGACAGGGGTCCCTCCGGGCCGGAGCTGGCGGCAGTGGTGGCAGCGATATCGCCGCCCTAACTCACCGCGCCCCTTTTCCAGCGAAAGCTAGGCAGCGGCGGTCGCCCAGAAACAGGTGGCCGAGCCTGTTAACCGCGAGAACCCCCTTACAAACTGCGGCCTGGCAAAAAGAAACCTGACTGAGGAGCAGTGATCGGGTTCCCTTGGCAAGTTCTGGGCCCCGTAACGCCGGGAAAGGCCTCCGTTTTCCGTTTCTTGCTGCCGTCCTCCGCAGCCTTGCCCAGTGCACGAGCCCTAGAGGCCCCCGTCCTCCCTTCAGAGGCGTCGGGGCTTGGCCCCAGCCTCCATTTTCGTCTCTCAGGATGGCGAGCAGCAGCGGCTCCAAGGCTGAATTCATTGTCGGAGGGAAATACAAACTGGTACGGAAGATCGGGTCCGGCTCCTTCGGGGACATTTATCTGGCGATCAATATCACCAACGGCGAGGTAATCACCTGGGGTGGGGTTCACGTTAATGCTGCGACTTTCCTTACCCCCCCTCCTACCCCCAGTGCCCCAAACTGCTCGGGCCTCTTCCCACCGCATGCACGCACTAGGGAGGCCAGAGGGAGCCAGTTTTCCTGGCTCGGTAACCTCCCCATCTCTCTTTCCCTAAAAGGGAAGGAACCCCATAGAGACGCTGGTTGAACTGTGAAGTTTCCCAGCTTGTTACATATGTCCTTTAGTCGAGTTTTGTTTTTTTTAAACCATCATTTAAGGTGAGAACGGCAAAATCCTTTTTCTGTGACCTCCTTGGTTTTCTTCATACTTTTTATATTTAATCCTACTGGGGTTCTTGCTCCAATTAGGACAGTTTCCGATCGCCTAGTTCCTTCAAAAGCTCGCATTACGTTCAGAGGTCGCCTCTTTTTTCTGGATGAATCCTTTTCCTGCACTTAGAGGACGTGCCGATTTCGTCACTACCCCCTGAAGAGGCCTTTAAGGCTGGTTGCCTCGTTTTATAATTACGAAGAGAGTTTCTCTTCTCAACTTTCCCTTCCTTCTTGTAATCGCGACTTGGAACTTCGCTAATGTCTCCCCTCCTTTCCCTAGTGACATTGACTCCATAGGGATGTTGATGCCATCATCCCTTCTTTCCCCTGCAGGAAGTGGCAGTGAAGCTAGAATCTCAGAAGGCCAGGCATCCCCAGTTGCTGTACGAGAGCAAACTCTATAAGATTCTTCAAGGTGGGGTTGGCATCCCCCACATACGGTAAGAAATCATAAGCATATAGGCAATTCGCTGAGGGAAGTACATACAGAATGGGGAGATGGATGGAGGCAGGTAATGGACCAGCTGAATGCGGGGTTTGGTATTTGAGTTACTTGGGTTCCCTATAGCCAGTGGTTTCCTGTGACTCGTAAGTCACCGCAGTCACTGAGTAAATTTTAGTTTGCCAAGTTTTAAAATTTCAGTTAGTTACACTCTGCTCTATTTAGCTTCCGTCATTCTTCCTCTTCCCGAAGCTTTCATTTACAGTTAAGTATGAAGGTCCTCTTTGATCCCTATGCGGAAGGGTTGGCTGCTGCTTTTACGGCGGCACCTCTCATATTATTAGGTTTGTCCAAGAAATTAGATTTGAAGGTGCCACAGTGACCGGGCTCAGCCAGTTCGGGTTGCTATTGGAGTTGGCTTGGGAAATGGCTGCTCTTTTGTTGTGTTTTTGTTCCAACATGTCTTCCTCCTCCGCTTAGAAAATGGCGGAGCGACGTGACTCAACCCCATATTCCTGCCCTTTTCTCAGCTTGGGTTCATATTATGCTTCCTTGATTTCCCCTTTAGCAGCCCTGGGGGATTAAACCTTAGAAAAGCCAATAATAAAGCTGCAGGAGGCAGAGGGGTTTAAGGAAGGAGATGGCATAATGACAGTATGTTTGTGATCTCTGCCGCAGATGCGACATGAAATTGTTAAGTTATACTATGTAAAATCCTTCGTATTCCCCATAAAGGTGTTAATTATTATTTCTTTTCATGAATGGTAAAGTTTGGTCTATTTCAGTCTACTAAATTTTTATGGGTAATGGCAAAGGCAGTTTGGAAAGCACCAACTGTTGAAATTTACTTAAGTCAGTTGTAGTAAAAGAAAGCTTAATCACTTTACCACGGTTTGATAAGTAATTTCAACCTGTTGAGTTATTTTCTCAGTAAAACTTTACATTAGGGAAGTTGTGGCCTTTTGGGGATAGGGTATTGGTGAATGGAAATAGTAATAGTAACTAGGACAAAAGATGACCAGATAAAAAGACATTGTGTTTTCTTAGAGCTTTCAAGTAATTTTTTGACTTTTGTGATTAGAGAGTCTCTTCCTGGGATAGAGACTAAAATATAGTTTAAAACCCAGCCATTTTCCAGCAATACTCAAAAATAACATTTGCAAAAGGATCCAGAACAGTTGAGAATTGAATGGTATTTACTGTATACTTTTTCTGTTCTAGCTTCTATTTTTCAAATCTTGAATGAAGGACTGTATTGCATACATACATTAATTCTGATGTGGAAACAATCAAAATAACACTATCCTTTTAAAAAACTCCAATGCTGATAAACATTTTTAATAGAGAAATGGAATGATAAAATGTACTGTTGGTTATAAGTGATCAAGTATTACTTGGAAGAAAATTCCAAATTATATTATGAAGTAAAGATTAATGTGAAATTCAAGGCGATCCAGATTTCAGATTTTAAGTGATCCCCCCCCCCAAACCTACTGTATGGGAAAATAAGGCCTCTGACCCCCCCCCCCATTTGCTTTCCATCACCAAAGTTTTGCCTAGAATTTCATATAAATGGAATCATACAGTATGATGTCATTTGCGTCTGGCACCCTTCACTTAGCATAATTCATTTTTGAGATTGATCCATGTTGGGAGATTTTATAAATTTCACAAATTAGGTTGAGTTTAATGTATTTGAAATCATTTTCAAAAAGCATTAAGCATCTGGGCATTTTCAGTGCTAAACCCAAGTTAAGTGCATGCCCTTTTATCTGGTAGCTCTAAGACCTGATACAGACCAATAAGGGCAATGAGTAATATTCTGAATAAGCACATGAATAAAGGAAATAAGCTTGTGAGCAGAATAATAGGTATCTATTATAAGATGGTGAGTGCAGAGAGAGTTATGGTAGTTTTGAAAGCTGTTATGTGGGTGGGGCTAAAGAGATTAACCTGGCTTTCGAATTAAGGCTCCCTGGGAGAGAAGATGGGATTTCAGGATCTGGCTTTAAGGAAGAAAGCTTGGTGAACTGGTTTGGGAGGGCATCCAAGAATAGAGTGTGGCTTCTGGGAGTAGTTTCTAAGGCAGAATGTAATAATTGGATGAGAGTGGGCAAAGGGTAAATTTGTTTTAGGAGTGGTAGGTTTGGGTATGTAGAAACAGAAGTGGTTCCTTGGTTTTATTTATTTATCGTTTGTTTGTTTTTGTTTTTTTGGTGGCTAGCCCGTATTGGGATCCAAACCCTTGACCTTGGTTCAGTAAGGCAACATTCTAACCAGCTGAGCCAACCGGCTTCATTGGTTTTAAAGTAAAGTGTGAAAGAATGGTTTTTGCATGGAAGGGTAAAAGATAAGAATGATTTGCATAGACATTCTTTATTTGGGTGGCACCATCTTCCCATCCCCTCAGTATGTTCCCTACTCTTTCTGTATCGCTTATACATAGTATACTTAATATTTACTTGATAAATATTGGTAAATATTGAATTAAATTGACTGGTTTTAGCTAGATTAAACAAAGCAGTCTATGAGTTATCCTACTGTTTAGAAGTGTTGACACTAAATTGTAAAATTTAAATTTTGCAGTATTTATTCTTCATACACTCATCCCCCTCCCGCTCCCCCCTCCCTTCTGTTAAGAAATTCTATACAGGTTTTGCTTTAAGATACTTTGGGATATCTCAAAACAAGGGTACCTGGTTTACATACCTAACCTGCCTCATCAGGTCCTTTCTGTGTAATTTGAAGGACCTATTGTTAAGTATAAAAGCGTAGCATCCAGTGTAAAGAGCAAGAATGAGAGAATAGCATCAGTCTGTTGATATTTTAACATGCTAAATCTTTCAACCTTCTGAATTGACATCTGGCAGCTCACTTAAAATACTGTTTCTGTTACAACCCTACTTTTCTTTGTGCCCTCTGAATTGAATTAACATGTTCTCCAAAGAAACAGATATTCTGAAAAGAGGACTTAACTAGACAGATATTGGAGGTTCGAGGTCTAGGTCTGCCATGTGGTATTGACTGCATGATCTAGGGTCAGTTTCTCAACCCCTGTGGGCCTGTCGGTTTCCTCATCTATAAAATGAAAAGAAGATTTTACTAAGTAATTTTCTAATTTTGTTGGGGTGGGAAAGGAGAGTGCTGAACTGAAAGATTTAGGGTTCTCTGTCCTCCGAGAAAAATATTCATTTCCATTTGCTTTTGCCTACTAAGCTTTGGGGTAGGGAGGTTTGTTTGAACAAGTCTTCCCTATTTTAATAAAAGCTACTGGGCTAGTTGATCTCAGACCTTTCAGTTTAGAATTTTAAGACCTGTTTTCAGAGGATAGTAGCTAGAAAGCATTTCATCAAAAGTCTAGATCTTACCTTTGAATATTATTTTAGGACCAAGACATACCACACAGGATTCTTAAAAATGTCATCTGCTTCAGGTACACCATACATTGATGATTTAGGAGGAAGTAAAATAATGGAATATGTGAGGGCACTTCAAAAAGTTCATGGAAAAATAGAATGAAAAGATAATACTAATCTTTCCAAGAACTTTTTGAACTACCTTCGTACTTTTATAGGAAAGTCATTTATAAAGATGGGCAGAGACTTGGGAAAATTGTTGCCACCTTTTTTGCCCTTTCTGTCTGAATGTCAAATATTCTAGGAGATTATTTATAAAGTTCTAGTTAATCTTTACTCTTCACTGTTAAAAAGCAGTGTCAATTTTAATCTTACCTTTTGGCACTGAGCATATATCCTGTGAATAAGATTGTAATACTGTTATTGAAGAACAAAGATGACAGCTGTATTGGGTATGTCTTCACTAAAATGTTACGGATTACTAGGTGCACAAGAAATGTGATTTTTAACTTAAAGGGTAACTGAATCCATGGTGTAGTAGAGGTGATTTATATTGCCTTATGGAATAATGTAATAATGCTAGGTAGCATTTTTGAGTTGGACAAAACCTGAGGGTGCATGTAACCCAAATCCTCATCAGACTAATTGGACTATTTAGTCTCAGAGGAGTTACTAGAGTCTCCTAACTCCCAGTTCTCCTAAGAACCATTATCACCTTTATGTCAAGGTCAAATCATACCTGCTTGCTTAATCCACGCCTTTCTATTTGATGCTGGAGAGCCATACTTTGCTCCTTCACTCTATGGCATTTAGCCTCATACAGAGAAGCTGAAAAGCTGTCCTATAAATGTAAGTAACCTATTATTTGTATTTAACTAGATGCTTATAATTCAGGATGTTCTTATTCTGTGGAATGCAGGGTAAAAACTTTTGTTGGAAGTTATTAGTTTATATCTTAATTTGGAGTAAATACTTGTGAACTATTTAAAGTGTACGGGTTTTTACTTCCTCAGTTTTAGTCATTTTTAGAGATGGATCATTTTGTTTCCAAATATATTTAAGCTGTACCTAAAGTATCACAGTAAGGTTTTTTCATGGTCTGTCAATATTTAGTAAGGAACTTGACTGTCAAGAATTCTGTAAACGGAGGAAACAAGAATATGAAGCAAATGTTACTAATCGGATTTTTAAAATCAGTCCTTGAATTTAACAAGTTTTTCTGAGGTTATGTGAATACCTTCATAGCTTTCAATGAATAAATACCTAGTTAAAATGATGCTTTTTTGCTACTGTTTTTGTTTCTAGGACAATCTCAGATGGCTTTTAAAATTTTGGATAGCCAGTATTAGCATAGTATGGACTAATGCATGTCTTAATGGGATTTTGTTTTTAAGCAGCTGTCTTATGTACAGTGAAATGCACAGATCTTAATGGGTGGTTGGATTAGTTTTGACAAATGCGTACACGGGTGTAACCCACCTCTCTATTGAAGTAAAGAATATTTGATTTTTCTTTACACAAACATACATAGTACCAATTCTTGATAAGCTCCCTTCTGTGACATTAGTTTTATTTTGCTTTAAAGTTAGTCTTTTGGATCACAGTTACACATTATTTCTTCTGGATTTGATGTCCATTTGCT